CTCCCGAGCCCAGGACAGGTGAAGTCAGACTGGGAGTGGGCCTGTACCAGCTGGGTCCCACTGTGAGGGGCGGGGATCTGTAATGTGGTGGTGAAAATGTCACCTACATGTTTGGTGCTGTCAATCACAGTTAGGGAGGATCTTGGGAATGATAACAATGCCTAACAGTTTATTACAGCATCATCAAAGTCTTTTACAACCTTTCAGCATACTATTATAGTGTCAGTGAATAAAACAGGTAAATTATAGCTTATCATTTTTGTTTTATACTTGTCCAGGAAGTTTGCCATACCAAAATATTGGGAATTTTATTTAGAATTTCACCAATAAGGTAAAAAAACAGCTATTTCCCCAAGTCTGCACATTGACAATTTCTCTAACATAGTGGAGCTACAAATGAACATACTTCATTTCTAAAGATTCATGAATTGACTAAAGGGCAAATGAAATTTTGCCTTTTGAATTTGGATCCTGATGGAGAAAAATACTCCTCTGCACAGCCCAGTGAGCAGGAAAATAATGATTGACCCCCTAGTGGTCCCTCCCTTGTGGTCAATTCATCAAGCATTTACATGTACATTTATGTTAACAGTTTACATGTGTATCTTCATGAGCAGCTTCAGGGGGCTTGATTATAGGTCTTCTATCAGGCCTTTTCTCATTGCAAGATAAGGCTTGTACAAGAATTTCCACCAGATAGTAGAGAAAACAATGCTCAAGCTATGTGCAGGGTTTTGTATAATGACAAGATTTTTAACTCTCTAGTATTAGTAGTATTAATATTCAGATTAACATGCATGAGTCCAACCTACGGTAAAATAAACTTCATGTCTGAGTGTCTTCCTCTTACACCAGGAAGCAGAGGAGGAATATGTCTTGAAGGCAAAGGTCTTACCCGATTGCTCACTGTCTTCTTGTCAGACCAGATTGAAGGACTAAGCTGTGTAGGAAATGCCTGTCAAACAAGATTTCTGGTCGATAGCTGAAAAACACTGTGGGAACAATCAGGACTACAAGTTTCCATGTCATCAACTCAGGAAGGGGCTGATGGAATTTACAGTAAAGACATGATTTATAAAAGAAAACACAACAAACTTGTCCATGTTCATCATAGATCTGAAGGAATCTGCTGTTATGGTTGAACGTGATTTATAAGAGAAAAGAAAACATAGCACTCTTGTTTAGGAATGTTTGTGGCAAACCTCTAGAACTGTATATACTATATTAGTGCTGAGACTAATGTTCTCGTCATCCCATGTGCTGTCTGTAGCTTCTGCATATTTGTTTAGTCTTGTCTCCCTGTACTTGACTTACATCTCCCAGGACCCTGACCCTCTGGGACCCCCACATATCTCCAACCACTGTTGAGGCTACTGTGTATTTCTGGATAAGACAGCTCTGTCAGCCTGATGTCCCCAGAAATATGCATGGATCTCTTGATCACCCATTACGATAAGTAATGAACTTGAACTCCGATGACAGCTGAGCCCCCATTGTTTGGTTGTCAGAAGTCCAAAGTTGGCACCCGGCAGACTGTGATGTATAACTGGTCGCAGCTGGCCAGGGACGGTTTGACAATTATGGGGGCAGCTAAACTTGGCAAAGGCATATTTCATGTGCAGTAGGCCCTGTTTGTTTGTGTTTCGTCAATCATGGTTGGATGCCTTCATGTCAGTTAACCTTTTCCCTGCTGACTTATACCATCACTGTTACCATAAAACTGTTTAGTGTGATCAGTCCTGTTACTGTGTTAGTTACTGGAGTCTCCTGGTGATTGTTTTCTGAAAAATTGATGAATGTGCATAGAGCTTTGTCTCACTAAAGGTTGTCTTTTGTCTAGGTTCTTCCTCTGATTAGCAGTAAGATGAAATTGTAACTCATCACAATGTTTTTATGATGAATAATTGAGTGCAAGAATTTGAATAATAAATGTCAGTAGTTAATATAACAATTAAATCTCATAATTGGAAAGTTATCCATCTTGATAATAATTAATCTGTCAAACTCTCAATTCTCTGTGAGAGGTTTGCATTCCAATAAACCACCCTGCAACTTTAGCAAGGAAACTCCACTTCTGGAAAGGATTTTCTACAGGAAGAACGATCCCTGTGGGCAAACGTCATTACTTTTCTGCAAGCACATGTGGAGGAAAAGGCTGTCAACATGCATGTACAGTACATGTAGATTCAAATCTCACTCAAGATTCCTGGCCGTAAAACACTGACATCAGATTCAACATCCAGAAATCCCCTAAAATGTCAAATGTACCATTATAACACTCCAACCCCCCATGCAGACCCATAGAAAAGGGTGAATAGGGTTTATACCACAGGAAGAAGTCTCCCTCAGGACTGTACAGTGTCAGCCCCCATGACGCATCTATCATGGTAAGATGTCCCACGCACAAGCCTTTCCCTTGTTGTCCTGCCTGTGTGATTCACACCAGGGACTTGATGCTGTTTAGTCTGGCAGGGTTCCTAACATATAACTGCTGGACAAAGTAGACAGTTAGAAACTACCAGGACAAGGCTGACTTTAGACCCTACCGGTACTTTTTCATCGTAAGTGCATTACCACAGTCTCTATTGTGTGTTTTGGAACATCTGTGATCTTATATGTGTCTCTGTACTCCCCAAATGTGCGTCAACTTCAGTTGTCAGCTGCCAAAGCAACTGTGTGGTTAGATCTGAACTATTTCCAAACAACGAGACATCCTGATTGGAAGTGTGGCAGTGTCCCGCTTCCAACATTGTTCCTGATTTCATTGTGTACAATTTTTATATGGTATTGTATGTGTATGTTTCCTGTACAATAGTCATACTTCTAGATCTGTTAGTAGTTCTAATGTTCATGATTTATAAGAGTAGTTCCAACCCTGCTTCAAGATTTATGTTCTGTTTGTTTAATGTGAAACCCTGTCTTCCCTGCAGGTTGCCAGCCCAGGGAGACCCCCTACTGACTGACCCAGATAGAAAGAGCCAAGGTAAGCATCATCCTGGATCAAACTAATTGTGTTGTTAGGACTAAAAAGTTACACAAATGTAGTTAATTCAGGAAAGATGGGATTTAGACAGCGGAACTTCTGCTTACTCCATACTTTTGAAGTACAGACTAGTCCACCATTGCTAGTAACCATGCTGAAGTGAAGACCATCTGTCTGCTAAGTAATTTGTACTTTCTTGAGACTTCTGTATCCTGGACTGTCTTATTAATCCCAAAAGCCAACATTATCAGTTTCGATAGAAACCCTTAAGTACTTTCTGTTCCTTCTATCACTTTCACATGGTAATTCCTGATCTTTCTTCTACTTTTTCCGTTTTTCTTGCACGTTTTTATAGGATATTTTAAGTTTCACCCTGTAGGGTCTACAACGTATTATGTGCAACCTTGAACTTTGAAGAAAGGATAGGCTATTTCCTAAGCTTTTTATCCTGATACAGAAGAACCCCATGTGATCCCACAAGGTAGCAGTTTCCTTCCCAGGAGAGGTTAGCTGGCACATGTCCCTGACCTGACCACCAGGGTGGGTGGGACTGACTGCCATCTATCCCTACACCTAACCTGGGGTCATAATCATCATCATTTTGGCCAAGAAAACAAAGCCAAAGTCTATAAATTATCCTACCCTCCTTCAAGAAGTTACGTTGCACATGTTGAGTATATATACAGACCAGAGGTATAATCACCCATCGGCGTAACACATCAGTTTATTGAGAAGCTCTATGTTTTTAGAGATGTACTCATGATTTCCTCTGGAGATATCAGTACACCAAGCACATCTTCTGATGGTTATCTCACAGTCCTGCTGGGTGTCAGGCTGGAAGACTTGCAAGATAAGGGATACTGATACATGTGAGGAAGTGGGCGGGGTAGTGATGCTAAGGAAGTGGGGAGTTCATATGGGAAATACTACTCCCTATATGATATTAGCCTATCATCCTCTTCCTACTTTCAATTAGCTATGAAAACCAACTGCTCTCTGGTTACAAAAAATATTGATTAATCTTACCAAGGGGATTTAAGTGGATATATAACCTCCTTGATCTCACAAATGACATGTACATGTATCTGCATTGCCACTGCAGGAACATTGTGTTATGTATATCCCTTATTATTTGAATGATTATGATATAGATATGTTAGGTTTTATTCGACATTAGGTCTTATTCAACACACTTATTTTATTGTTTTTACTCTCTTTATATAGTTTGCCATACAATGTACCATGTGCATTTGTCGTGCAATAAAGTTCTTCTGTTCTTCTGTGTGATACCCAATTCTTCAAAGTGATGCTGACAATCTAATCCAGGATTGCTGAACCTTAACATAAGATGTCACCATGATAAATGAATATAGCATCTCACAGGACATGGGAGATTAAACAGGATATTTATCTAATAATCTTTCTCATCCTCTTGACCACACAGACTTGGTCTTTGTAGAGCAAACATTTATTATTTTCTCTGCCAAGAAGTACTGTTAGATTTTACCAGTGTTGGATAGCTTGGGACAGGACTTAGCTTATTTGACATCCTTGTAAAACCATGGATGTGAAATGCCAAATTGTGTGGGATTTCAGTGCAGCTATTCAAGTCAGTACAGGGAGTGAAATTGTATTGTCTTCAAGCAGACATTTTGGTGACAAAAGTTCAAATGATATTGTATACAGATTGAATTATAACTGTGTAAAGATTGATATTGTATTTACAAGTTGATGCAAAAATTTGATCTGCCTGTACAATTATAGTATTTACCATACACAAAAATTGATATTGTACACGTATTTATTATAACCATACATATTATGTCTCATATCATTGATTGAGTAGAAGTACTCGCCATGGCTTAATATTTCATACAATTGATCCTGCTGGTATACAGAGAATGCGGGTCTGCAGTGCTTCTGTCTCCTCCTCTCTCATTGGTCCATCCACGAGAGGCCCTAAAAGGAGTTGCCATTATGCGTCTGACTCATTATAGATTCAGTGACCTCACTCCTGCATAGCCGATGATGGGTGCATGGAGGAGGGACGAACTGTCAGTTATTCCGCGATGAGGTGACTCATGTCCTGCCTGCCTGCGCCGTTTTCATATCCACATCTGATTATTCTTGGAAATAGTGACTGTTCTGCTGCGGTGGATATAAGTCTACAGTCATATTTGTTCCCGGCATTTATGCAAGCAACGTGTGTTGGAATAGAAGGTAAGAGAAGACATTCAGGTTTGCTGTATTTCCGTCTCTAGGAGATGTTTGTCCTGGTCTGTGTTCAAGCCGTTTCATCATGTTTAATATCGTAATATTTTCACACTCGCTTGACATGGTGACATTTGGGGATAGAGGTCAAACTGGTCATTAGGAGCGGAAGTTATCTTCACGGCCTCCGTAGCCCATGATGAGGCTGGTTTAGTGCAGGTTAATCCATTTGAAAAGGACTAGATTTAAGCAAGAATGTATACTCATTTGCATGAAGCAATGTGGATATGTTAAGGAGCTATTATGGCACCATTTGTAATGATTTATATCAGTGAAGGCTTGACGTATGGGTAGTTTATTGGCCGTTGAGGTGATCCCATCACGTTTGTCACAGTACCTTGATTTGTTTCACTCCCATCATCTTGGACTGCTTGGACGTAATTAAAGCCTGGAATCTGCGCTTGTTATCGGTGCTTCGAACTGTGTCTCTATTGGCTGAGCTTGTAATCCCGTATTGATCCCGAGGAATCACGCCATAATTCGTGCTGTTGTATTTACGACCCGAATGGTGGAATTGATTTCTGTTGCAAGTGTCGGGAGAAGAAATCGACTTTTGTGTCCCATAATGATCATATAACGCACCACGCATACGTAAGCTGCATGAAAGTTGTTTGAGGAAAGCCAGAAATTCTATAACTGTAAAATTTACATATCCCTGCTGGATCATTGGAATTGCACACACTACATTTGACCGTGCACTTAGTCTGGGGGGCTGTTGTGATTATGCCCAATTTTGCTGGTGCACCTGTTTTTGAGCCGCCTGGATTGAGTGATGGGGAGGGAGGGTCCCAAATGGAATTACATCTATAATTATACAACACAGGAGTGCCTTTGTACAATATCTCAGCTGGAGTGTACATGTGTGTGTCTTTCCCAATATGGGCTGTGTAACAAACATGCAAACATAACAGGAATGTTAAATAGCCTGAGCCACTGCACTTGTGCTCACGATTTTCATATCAGAATAATGCATCATGTATCTGCTTGCAACATATTATTCATTCCCACATCTATTATTACTAAAGAGCAGAAAACAATATTGTTATTGATGCATACTGTTATTGGTGAAATCAAATATTGCTCAGAGTCCTATATATTGGATATAGAAGTGTTATAGGGTATGCAGGATAGATTTCCTATGTTTTATGCATGTGGTGTAATGGAGATTTATCCCTCTGGGCAGGATGGGAAGGTAGTAGAATATGTGGGGCCGGGGAAGGGAGCTTCTGCAAAACCAGGCAATTTCAGTCCCCTGACCCACTTCCAGCAATATTACTGCATTCTGCTGAAATACGTCACGATATTTCTTATGCAAAAAAGAAGTGATCGTTTTTGCATACCTCACTGCACTGATGAGAATTTATTAGATATTGATTTTATTACATGTAGAATCAATAAAAAAAGGATTCAGGCCTCATGTTTCTCGTGGCTGTGCAGGGTAGCTGATGAGGCAATTCCTACGGACCAATCAGAAGAAATCAGGCCAGTTGTTAATTACATTTTTCCCCATCTAATTTGCAGTGAATGTGTGTGCTTCTTGCTGGGCAGTCGCTGTCTTTTCCTCACTCAATAAAACATGAATAATTTAGGCGTGGGGAGGGCTGAAGGCCTCCAACAAGTAGGCTGAAGATTAGGTGATAAAAAAGATGATTCCTTCAAAATTAGACGTTCCACCCAGGGAGGATGGACCAGATACAGCAGCAACATTCAGGAATCTAATCAGTGAAGCTGAGGTCAAGATCTTCTGACTCATTTCTGAAGCTTTTCCTCTTGTTAGAATTAGATGATTTGATATTATATCGTCAACAGGAACAACTGCATTGTTGAACCTTGTTGAATAATTTAGACTTCCTGCCTGTGAGGTGTGATGGAGGGTGGGCAATGATGGTATCTTGCAGAGTTTATTGCTTGACGTATGGCGGTCTACCTATGGCTGTAAGGAGGATAGTGCGTTAGAGTGTTAGAAAACAGTGTTAGAATAAGCTAGAGGGTACCATTTTTCCTCCCTGGGTCTGTTTGGAAATTTTCTTCCTCGTCCATTCTCATCTCATGGCGTCAAACCATCATATTTTCAAATTTTCAACAGATGTTCCAAGGGAAAAGATCTAACACTGCCAGTTTTCTTTATAATTTTCCACCAGGCTCTGATTTTGTTAATGCAGCTGAAATGCTTTGATCTCTATCAGTGTCAGGGCTAATCTGAACAAAGTGTAATAAATATTGGCCCATGACACCAAGGGTTAATCTAGATAAATGACTTGTCCTGTTGGAAGGATACCTGGCCAGAAGGTAAAGCGATATTTACTATGCCTCTTTTGTAAGTTTATAGCAAGGAGCTTTCATCACGTGATGAGAGCTCCTAGTTTACAGGTAGTGTGTATCTGTTTGTCCTAATATTGATAGAATTTATGCAGACAAAAGTCTAATAGATATGCTGTAATGAATCAGTGTTCTGTTGAAATAGTTAGAGATATATGCGTACATAATCATATTTTTACTGGTCACTTAAGATTTGGAAACACATTAGAAATTAGAATCTTCTAAGGGCAAATAGCTTCTCAACTATATCCATTATGACAGAAATAAAGTTACCATGATACAGTGAGAAGGGTGCACTTTCAAATGGCATTCAAAGCTGGACTGATATATGTTCAGTTGAAATGTCAGGCATCAAACATTGTATTATTGAAAGTTCAAGTGACCAGTGATTTTTATCTACAATTGGAAATCGTTCTCTTACTTAGCTTCTGCTTTGTTATATAATTCCACCTACCATCAGACAAATGTTAACCAAAAGGGACCCATCATTGAAAATGGCTCCAAGTCAACTGTGACCAGGTTTTCCCAGCAATTGGAAAGAATTTTCTTCACTTTTCTAATGTGTTTTATTATGTCACCTGCCTGTGCACGTATGGTTGGGTGAGTCTGTAAGGTGACCCATCATTGAAACTGACTTTCCAAATTAAACATGATCACTATTCTACATTCAACAGTTGGAAAGAATTTTCTTCACCTCTTGTTCATGTGTTTTACAATTTTACCTGGCAGCTCACATATGGTTGGGTGACCAAAAGTGACCCATCACTGACCCCATGGACTCCTTGATGTGGTCTGTCCTGGTTATGATGGGATGATAGTGATAACCTCTGTCCTAATGGGTTCTTCATATCTCACACTAACATCTGGCTGGTATCTTTCTCAGATTACAGTGTTGTTGGTATCTGTCCACTGTATGCTTGGCTTCATCCCTGTACTTTGTAATGAAATACCCTGAGTGCTACTGATTTTCTAGCTAACATATTGCCATTGTAAATTGTAGGTTGCTTTGAGAGGTTGTTTGTGTAGTCACTTTATTTTCAGTCCTTGAGACAGTAGTTGTATATTGTCTTTCATGACTGTATCATTACTTGTTGATCTAGCATTGATACCATTATTATGATAATCACTTAACGATGTGTTAATAATAACACCCCATTATCAACTCTGCCCTCATTTGTTTGTAGTCAATCAGCAGAATCTGACAACGAGTTGCTAATTAGTTGATTCAGGATTTTGTGCCAATTATATGACACCTTAGTATAGGGGGCTTGAGGATCACAATGGTTTCTGTAGTCACTTTTATCATGTTTGGATATGTGTCATTGTTAGTGTTTACAGTTATGTTTATGCTTTTGAAGGGTTACAATTTATTTACTGATAACATTACAGGGACATAAAGAGTCCCCCAACAGAATTATGCCCCACAAACATACAAATTACATTAATTATGGTAATCATTAGATGGTGCAAAGATTAGGTATTATGACTCTGAGATACATTGTAGCATGCGCAAAATGGGCTTAAGAGTTTTTTTGTCATAAGACAGTAGTCGCAACTGATTTTGATCTGGACGTACATTTAGAAGAATCATTGATGATTGTCAGTTGTACCAGATGATTACCAGTTGCAATTAGTAAATGATTAATTATGGGTTCACCACACCACGAAGTGGTGTGGTGAAACCATATTGCTTTTTCTGATGTTTCTTCTTCTTCTCCTCCTCCTCCTCCTTCTCCTCCTGCCATTTTTTAAATGGATTCAGCTTCTTCATTTTAGGGCCCAAGGTCCTGAAATTTGGTATGGAGGTACAGTGGGCAAATACCCCTAGGCGTTTTTTAAATTATTGTGATACAGGCTTTTAGAATGGTTTTATTTGAGTTTTTTGGCTGTGTTATAGCAAATGTATTACCTGTCGTTAGTGTGCCTTGTTTACCACGTTTGGGCATGAGTCATCACAATGGAATGCAGGGCATCAACCAATAGGCATGCAGCTTTCCTCTATACTTCTTGCTGATTGGCTGTTGGGATTTAACTTGATTAACACCTGCACAGAAGCATTTCTGACAGTATGTCTGTATTCAAGTGTTTTGGTAGGTATTTCAAGCTTTCCTGCTCCAGCATTGGAATGCCGGGCATGGACGTTTT